TTCTAAATTTAACTTTAAAAATAATAAAACAGTATTTTTGAGTGTTTAGAAGGAGGTTTTCGTGCTCTCAATTTCAATATTATTCATCAACTCAATGAAATATAATAATTTTATTATTTCATCTTATTTTTGTCCTCAACACGTGAACAAAAAACTCTTCACACATAATAATAACAACGTTGGGACTGTTGGCAACTTTATAAACATATATATGGTTTAATTAAACAACGTTGGGACTGTTGGCAACTTTAGAAACATATATATGGTTTAATTAAATATTATTTATCCGTAATTAATTTTTCTTTCACCAGTGGCATTTACTAGGAATAATATAAGTGGTGTTACTCATATTCCCTTGATTATCATAGTTTTATGTATAATGTAGATAATAATAAATAAATAAATAACGTGACTTGGCTGCTAATGAAATATTAGATGAACGATGAAATATAATGAGCATGGACACGAATAAATCGTAAACTATTTTCATTGGATAAAAGCTTTCAGATGGGAATAATACAGAAAGGTCAATAATATATTGAGATTCTTCTGCTTGCAGGTCTTTTGTGATTAAATGTATATATGAATATCTAGAAACTAAAATGTTACAAAGATTCAAAATAAATAACGCATCTAAAAAAACACTTTCTCAACCAAAAATATAAAGCTTTCAATAGTTTTTTTTGTGTGTTTTTTACCATTTCCTACAAAGTGCAGAACTGTATCACTGAAATGAATCCTTAATTTGGACATGGACTATCATTCAGTCACCGTGCAATGAGCTGCCAGAAAAAAAAAAAGGATAAAATAGAAAAGATAAATGAAGGTAGAAATAATGGATTTAAATAGCCAAAAGTTCAAAAGTAGTATATTTATACCAATTTATGAAAAGGTTCTATTTATTCAAAAATCTTCTTCTTTTTAACTCTCGTGATAAATGAGATATGGACATAGTAGTTTTTCGATATTTGACTCGAAGTCTAATAAAAAGAAGAATTTAATAATCTTGAAAACAGTGGCCTTAAACTGATAATTAATAATGTTTTGAACGGGTTGAAAAGTAATTCCTATCAAGTAGAATATTAGGTAACTATTAATTTTAACATTAAATGTTATTAAATCAGATTATTAATATCAACTAGGTGTTTATTGATAAGATCGTTCAGTTAAGTCATTTAATATATTTATTTAATAAAATAAAAAAGCACTTATGTATAAATATACTATTAAATTAGGGAAGTTAAAAATGCTTAACATATACATGTGTGTGTTTATATATATTAATAATTTAGACTGTCACACTTATTAAGATTATTTTGTTTTGTTTTCAAAATATATTATTTTAGAACTAGCCTCCATCTCTTAAGCTGACTGATAGGTATTATTGAGATTACAGCCGAAAATGTCGATAATAGCAAGAGTTCCAAATTATTAATAACCGTTGTGAACAGTTTTATGAGAATAAATACTCGTATAAGATGAGTTGTATTATTTGTAAAATTATTTTACTTATAATCTATGTAGTAAACTTGCTTTGATCAGACGTTACTGGTAATAATGCAGATAATTAGTTAATTGTTATCCCATTGTTCATTTCACACACATTGTAGGAGGCCATATACCGCACACACAGAGTAAGTAAAGTTTAAGTAACTTTCACATTAACATTTTATATATGCCTATCAACTGTGTATATTAATATAAAAACATGAAAATCAAACTAATATTGGCTAAAATTATATAAATTGTACTACCAGATAGCTGCAGGTTTTTTATTATGCTCTTCATTCAACTAGTCCGAGAAGTTATGGAATAAAAACCATGAAATGGTCATTATTATTTTTAGAAGAATCGAATAATATTTCTTCAAATCATTTAAATTAAGAGACCCAGCTTGTGGCTCAACAGTAAGCTTGAGAGCATATAACGCTAAAATTTGGAGGTTAAGTTCCTGGAGTAAGCAAAAGTGCAGATGCCTAATTATGCAGTTTTATGCCTAATCAAAAACAGTTACCTATAATGACTATACATGTTAGAAGACAAAGTTCTCAACCATCGTATTGTTCAATATAGTTTAAAATTACAACTTAAAAGTAATAAAAGTGGTATGAAAAAATTAAAATCAGCTTCTGAAAATAACAGAGTGTGAATATGGCTAATAAAAGTACAAACTTAAATATTTAATACATATTAATTCATTAAAATATGTTCACATAACCTTCATTTATAATAACAAACAACCTCGTAGGATGGAAAAAACTTGGTTAATTGCATTGAAATACAAGGTAAAATCTTACCGCTTTCCACGGGCGACGACTAGGCGTGGCGTGATGGTTTGTCTGCTCGGAAGAGAATTTTTGGGTTGCGATCCGCTGCCGTACAAAGGAGTATCACACTCTAGAGACATAGGCGACGATCAAATTTCCATATTCAATCAGAAAAGAGTAGCCCCAGAGTTGGCGGTGAGTGCTGTTCACTAGCTGTCTTCTCTCTGGTCTACAGTTCAAAATATATTAGGGACGGCTAACACATATAGTCCTTGTGTAACTTTGTGCGAAATTCTGAAACAATCAAAATGGACGACAAAGTGGACCCTGAAGAGAACAGATCCATCTGTCGAAAGCGATAGAGTTTTATCGTGTTCTTTTCTCTCTCTCTCTTTATGTGACACACAAGCACCATAATAGTCATATTGTATTAGGCTAAATTAAAATAAAGTTAAGTCGAGAGTTATGAGTAAAACTTCTCAAAATATATTAATTAACGTCTAAAATAGATTATATGGTTTTTTCCTTAAAACACTTGCTATTATCAAATGAATTATAATTAATATAGTGTCGTTAAAGTAAAAAAACTGTAATAATTCCATGAATACTGTTGCCAATGTTATTCGTAGATATAAGAATACCTTATTATATACATTGTTGAATTTTAAATGAATAACAGGATCACTAAATACCTCTTTCACTAAGACTGTAGACTACTTAGTATTATGATATAAGTGGATCTTCTAAATTAGGTTGCATTCTAGCATTGCTTGTTAAAATATCACTACTAATGAAGACGGCGACTAATTTGTTATAGTGAGTAATGGTATAATGAACTACCAATAGATTCATACTCATGATTGTAATTTAAACAGTTATCAGCAAAAACGTCTAGAGTCTGGTGATATACACTTACAGAACGAATATATTTCTAGAGTCCGGTGATATATACTTACAGAACGGGTATATTGCTAGAGTCTAATGGCATAAACTTACATAACGAGTATATTCCTAGAGTCTAATGGCATAAACTTACATAACGAGTATATTCCTAGAGTCTAATGATATACACATACATAACGAGTATATTTCTAGAGTCTAATAGTATACACATACAGAACGAGTATATTCCTAGAGTCTAATGATATACACTTACAGAACGAGTATATTCCTAGAGTCTAATGATATACACTTACAGAACGAGTATATTCCTAGAGTCTAATGTTATACACTTACAGAACGAGTATATTCCTAGAGTCTAATAGTATACACTTACAGAACGAGTATATTCCTAGAGTCTAATGGTATACACTTACAGAACGAGTACATTCCTAGAGTCTAATGGTATACACTTACAGAACGAGTATATTCCTAGAGTCTAATGTTATAGATTTACAGAACGAGTACATTTTGGGAAAGTTTCGGTTAAACGATCTGGCGGTATATACTTACTGAAAGAAATCGTATTTGTCGATATTTTTTTATAAAGGAATATTCAGTTATCGTATTTATCATAACAAATGTATATAGTTCAATAAAATAATGTCTAATATAATTATTTTCACAGCTAATATACGTTTGGAATGAACTATGTTTCAATACATACATTGTTGAAGCGATCGTATAGTTCGTGCTACAAAATGATGGTTTATCTTCAGAACAGATGTATCATATACAATATGCGAATGAAGTTGTTACGATATAACTTATATTGTGCTTACGTTCTGAATAGTTATATCACAAAGAGAGTGGCATAGCAATGTGAAAACGCTTCACATCATAATGACTGACTGTTTTACAGAAAATATAAACCACAGTGTCTTGGGAATATTTCTCTTCACATCTGATTTTACTACAAATAGAATGAAATAGTTTGGTGGAAACAATTCTCTTCAGATTGATTACGTTACATGTATAGTTTTATAGCATCGTGGGAATGTTTACCTTACAATAGATGCATTACAGATAAAACAAGACTTTATTACCCAATGTTTTGTTATGCACCTATATCAAAGAACTGCAGTGTAGACCCGCTTTAAAGTCTATCGTCCTAAGCTACTTGCAAATAGATGAAATAACCTTAAGCTGTGTCTCCACGCAATTGCTCAGCAGTAAGTCTAAGGGCTTTTAACGCTAAAAAGCAGGTTTGGATACTCGTGGTGGGCACAGTACAGATAGTCCATTGTGTAGCCTTGCGATTAACAAATAACTCCACCTGTGATGTTTCAAGAACTGTATCAAGCCTTTTAGTTTATGATGACGTCTTCAATTCCGTCATAAAACTCTCTTTGAAAATAACTTTACGTTAAGCTTGTTTTTTGTTTATTACAACTCACTACTAGTTACCTTTTTTTTATTATTTTGCTAAGTTATAACGAGGAGAAGAACTCCAAGGGCTGAGGAAGGAAGGGTGAAACAGCTCTGTTTGATAACTAAGACACATTTTACTTCGGAATTAGATGTAATTTTATCCACCCACCCCTCTGTGTTTCAGCGATAAATCTACAGGCTGACGACGATAGAAATCGGGTTTCGATACCCGTGTTGGACAGAGCACAGATAGCCCGTGGTGTAGCTTTTTGCTTCACAACACCCAACCAATCAAATATGATTTTGCCAGTAGCTAGTTAATTACATATGTCATCACAGATTATAAGCAAAATCTCTGAACTAAAGTTTTCTCAAACAACTTTTAATAAAAAGAGTGTTACGAACCGGAAATCAAGGTTTCTGGAGCCACTTATGGACAATGGAGCTGGCTACCGGGGAACAGGGACACAAGCAATCCATTCTCCGGGCACACCTTCAAGATAAAAGATAAAAATTGTACCATTCCCCAAACATTGACCAATGAAGCTATTTACATAACTCAACTGTGTTTAGTTTAGTTTCTTTAGGGATTAGATAAGTAAATGAGCACTAACACAATGCTATTGTAATGTAGCACGTAAGTGATTAACACATTGTGTAATGAGATTAGGTAATCCGTTCTCAGCACTCATTAACCTTCAGAGCTCCAGTATCCGTTTATAACAAATGACATCATTTAGTAGAAATTCAGATTAGCACACGAGGTTTATTATTTCCATACAGTGACATTTCTAACTGTACTTTCCCAGTTGTCCAGGCACAAGTTTGGAAGTTTAGATATGCGTAGAACAAATTAAACGTTAGATAACGTATTACAACTAAGATTCTATATCATAGTAGAAGGAATGTAATTGTTCCTCCTGTTTCAAAGGACTTAGTTGTGCGTTATTACAAACCGGCAGTATGTGTGTTCTTGAACTGGCCTTAGGATAGACACGTATTATAAACAGCGTTAAGATTCAGTGGCTCTGATACATTATCCCTTACAGTAGGAAATATTACATTTTCTGTGACGGTAAAGCTAGAGTTAACCTGAAAAAAACATCAAAATGTCCATTAATATAAGTACGTATCTGAAACATACATTTACGTGTATAGCAAGAATACATAAGTTTGACGGTGAACATTTTCCCGTGTATACATGTTGTTTTGTTGAATGTTCAATTGTGAAGCGATAATAATATTGTAGTGACACATGTGGTCTACTGAGCTTGAATATCGTTTGTACTATTAAAGAGAAAAAATTACAAGAATGTGTTTACTAGTGGGTGAGATGAGTCTCATGGCCTAGTATTATCTATATTTTCCTCGTTTCTATGTGAAAGATAGTAACCCATATAACTCCATCCTTATAAGTTGTGTTATATTGTACTTTGAGTTGGCAAATTGTGTTACGAAACACGCTGAGTAGTTAAATGGTCTTATACAGTAGAGTGAGTACAGCTAGACTGTGTTATAAAGTACAGTCAGCAGTTAAATTGTGTTATAGAATACACTGAATAGCTAGACTGTGTTTTGCAGTATACTGAGCAATTAAATTGTGTTTTAAACTGGGTAATTAATGTTTTTATACAGTACTGTAAGTTAAATTGTGTTGTACAGAATAATGAATAATTATATCATGTTATATAGCATAGTGAATAGTTAAACTGTGATGTATTATACTAACTACATTAAACAGTATATTGAGTAGTTAATGTGTGCTAAATAATACACTAGTAGCTAAACTGTGTTATACACTACACTGGGGAGTTAAATTGTGTTATACACTATGTTTAGCAGTTAATTCAACTAATACTTACGAGAGCGTGACATTTTTCTTAAGTTTGTTACACAGAACAGGTAATCAGATTAGCCTTACTGGCTAAAGATAGAAATGATTCAGATATATTAACTTAAATCCATTCTTTATAGTTTCATGTCCATCTCACATGCTTATCAAATAATGACAGATTGTTTCCCATAATTCAATGTTTTTCATAGGTTCACACACACTATTAATGTATGTATTCATAGGTTCACACACATTATTAATGTATTCATAGGTTCACACACACTATTAATGTATGTATTCATAGAGGTTCACACACATTATTAATGTATTCATAGGTTCACACACACTATTAATGTATGCATTCATAGGTTCACACACATTATTTATGTATGTATTCATAGGTTCACACACACACTATTAATGTATGTATTCATAGGTTCACACACACTATTAATGTATGTATTCATAGGTTCACACACACTATTAATGTATGTGTTCATAGGTTCACACACACTGTTAATGTATGTATTCATAGGTTCACACACACTATTAATGTATGTATTCATAGGTTCACACACACTATTAATGTATGTATTCATAGGTTTACACACACTATTAATGTATGTATTCATAGGTTCACACACACTATTAATGTATGTATTCATAGGTTTACACACACTATTAATGTATGTATTCATAGGTTCACACACACTATTAATGTATGTATTCATAGGTTTACACACACTATTAATGTATGTATTCATATTTTCACTGCGATTGTATTGTATATTTTCACTAAGAATTTATTGCTACATTGCAACTTCATTAAACGTCGTCAGCTACTTTGGTTTCTTGACGAAGCTGTACAAGAAAACGACATAATATTGAGTATCAGTGCTAGGCTGGGTACATCCCTTCTAACCCTATTTTCCTACACTTCAGATTCCTAACTGTGGCTAACAATTGCAACTTCTAATTTGCCATAAGATTTTTATAATAGCATAAGTCATTCTTACTCTTGACTCATGCAGGTAACACAAAAGTACAACCAGTTCCTGTTAGATAGCACGTAAGTGAAATGCGAGTTACATGCGAGCTGACACGTGGGCGTTTCTCCCGAACTTTGCATGATTTTTGGTGCAACAGCAACATATGTACGTACACGTGTTTACATAATATCAGAGATTAAAACTAGTAAGCTAAATCAACTAAATAGCCTATCTTGAGCCATGTATCTGCTATCGATTACCTTATCTTTATATGAATAATTGTCAGCTTTACTTCTGTTACAATTTCAGAATCTTTCACATTCAGCCAAAACGACGTACTGTCATGCATGTAGTTCAGCTTAAGGCATATTAAGGTTACAATGACTTGATTCTGACAACAGAAGAAAACTAAACATATGTACTCTGAGAAAACCAAGCGTAAAATCAACCTTTAAGGATGTGAAAACCTGAAACAGGGGATGTTTGTATTCAACCATTTCATATATGTTACATATTTTTGTTGACTCATAACACTTTTAGGAATACGAATTCTCGCCACTTGACGCCACACATCGTGATTTTGCAGTTCGTAGTTTTTGACTTAAAATGATTTATTTCTTATTGTTTTCACTGTTGCAAATTGACACCTTTAGTATATGAAGCACATTAACAAAATTTGAAATAGTACGCTCTGGAAGTTATCTTTAAATTACCTCAAAGATACTGTCACGAGGTAGAAGGGTCACAATACCTCATTCCATACCATAAACAGTCATTTTCCTGATTTATTTTTCTGCCAATGGATTTCTGTTCATGTAAAATAATCTTGTCGACGACTAAAACGATATTAGGTTATAATAAGTATACATTCAAATAATACACTGAGTTTAGAACGCTAAGTACACATTTAATATCATTTGAACTGAATATAAAGGGTACATAATAAATTTTTGGAATCATAATATTCTTTTCAGCAACACAGGTTAACTTTTAGCACTAAATGTACCTCATGATTATCGAACACTAAATGTACCTCAATATTCGGCGTACTTCTTAATTATGAGATTTCATTAATAGTACTTTCGGTTTGATATTAAATTTATTCCTTCTATAGGCAAAAATAGTGTTTTCGAAATGTGAGGTGAAATCGACTTATTCATTCCGACAACACCACTAGTTATTTTTACGTTTTTACTTTTTCTTTATACTATGTGTTTTTTAGAACATGTATAAGATCTAAATAACGAAAAACGTAAATACACGTTCAGTTCAGATCACTTGTTTCTTTACTGTGTCATACTATAGGTTATTGAAAGTGAACGTGTAGCCAGAATCGTAAAACGTGATCATATTATATTAATAGATATATATCACATGTGCATCGTTACCACACGTTATAAGCAGTAAAGACATTGTTTCTAAATTATGTACTATAAAATACTATAAACTGTGAGCACGGAAAACTCTAACGAACAGTAGTAGTGCTATAACTTCATAGGTTCGTAACTTGGATCTATATATATGCACAATGATGTTAGATCATAATTTCAGTATGTACACTCAGTTGTGCTATACTTAACAGGTTCATACTTTGAGTAAATACATACAGCCGTACTATAACTTAACAGATTCATATTTTGGGTAAGTACATACAGCCGTACTATAACTTAATAGGTTCATATTTTGGGTAAATACATACAGCTGTACTATAACTTAATAGGTTCACAATTTAGATTTATACACTCAGTTGTGCTATAACTTAACAGGTTCATGCTTTAGGTAATTCCGTACTATAACTTCAGAGCTTCAGTAAAAATAATTACAAAAATAAGAAACTTTCCTTCTAGAAACTAACAGTAGATCGACCAAACTCATACACATCTTACATAATTTTGTATTTGTACAAAGTAAGATGACAGTTTTTGTATCTGAATGCTAGGTGTAATAATAAATCAAAATAAACTGATATTTAGGTTTCTTTCAAGTATGTAGTTTATAGCTTGTGCTATAGTAGTCAGAAAACAAAATGTATAGTTTATTTACAAGATGGTGGTCTAAGACGAGCGAAATGTTACTGGGTCTAATATTACAGTAAAATCTAGAAGTAGAGCATAAGTTACAGAGCGGTTAGAAGACCGACGAAAACACTTTCGGGTTCCTAATAACCAAACTTCTTTGGCAAGTCTACATTACTGTCTTATTTATTCTAAATGTTAAAGTGTCGTTATTTAAATGTTAATCATTAGTTTTGTACTATCTTACATCAGATACAAGTCAGAAATTTCTAAAAAGGCTGCCAAAAAATATAAATATAGTTTCTCTTCTTATCTTTGTTGATGAAGCAAAACCAGAGAAAATTAAGAACAACCTCCCTGAAAAGATGCTTGCAGTGGTTAAAGTGTTGTACGATCTCCCTGAAAAGATGCTTGTAGGGGTTAAAGTGTTGTACGATCTCCTTGAAAAGATGCTTGTAGTGGTTAAAGTGTTGTACGATATCCTTGAAAAGATGCTTGCAGTGGTTAAAGTGTTGTACGATCTCCCTGAAAAGATGCTTGTAGCGGTTAAAGTGTTGTACGATCTCCTTGAAAAGATGCTTGTAGAGGTTAAAGTGTTGTACGATATCCTTGAAAATGATGCTTGTAGTGGTTAAAGTGTTGTATGGTC